ATTAATTTAGCTGTGCTCACTGAAAAAGAGAACACAGGACAGAACGATCGCCTATACATCAGTCAGAAATTCCACTATGCATGCTGAAAGAAAACGATTCATCCAGCAGTTTTTATAACATCTGGCTCACACCAAGCCAATATTATTTGCAAAGTTTGAGAAACTAACATGATTTGTGAAGAAAGCAAACGGTTAACATCACTGACCAGATACAATACTTGAGTGTACATCATCCAACCAAGCACAGTGAGTAAAAGAGGCTAACAGAACTAGCGAAGATGAATAACACAACACCAACAATAAGCTACCAAACAGCACAGATGACAAGTGGACTCCTTTTCTAATATGTACTCTGAGATACGGAGAGTACCAGGAAAGCCACAATCTGACAGCATTTCTTTTTTTTTGACACTTAAGTGTTTATTGAGTTTTTTTTACAAGTGGATAGATGTATACAATAAAGGAATGTCAGAAGCAGAACAACACCAAAAAGAGGAGGAAAAAAATAAGAAAAAAGGGTCTGTGGTTATAAAATCCCTATCAAATGAGTGTATTTAAAGGTGTAGTATCCTTGCATTTATGCCCATTTATCACTATGTATTTCTACAGTGTCATAAGTCGTCCATTTTCGCCACCTGTTAACAAATACGTTTTCTTTCACTCAAAGCTGGTAAGTCATTTTTTCTAGTATATAAATTTGTCTTACAATTTCCACCCACTGTTCTACAGAGGGAGGTTCAATCTTACACCAATTTCATGTTATTGCTTTTTTGCTGCCTATCAGAATTATTCTTGTAAAATATTTGTCATTATCCATAACATGATCATTAATATCTCCAAGGTACAAAACTGTGCATTATTTGTGAAATGAATAACCCGAAATGTTTGTAATCACATCATATTCATTTTCAAAAAGAGTACAGTTTATTACATTTACAAATGATGTGCTTATTATTGGCCTCCTTAATCCCGCACATACTCCATCACGGCTGTTGATCACCAGTTTGTTTATTCATAATTCAGGAATTATACAATAACGAGTCAAATCTGATGGCATTTCAAATGTTGAACTACCTCAGGCAGTCATTCCATGGAGTGCACAGGGCCTGAATTACTGGCAGAGCACTGAGGGCTTTTCTATTCTTGCTGAAGCTCGAGCCTACCTCTCAGCACCTTTTAAACAACATGGTTTAGGATTACTTGAAATATCTTGAACAAGAGGAGGAACAGACTTCTGCGCCAGCAAGCCAAAATGTTACTTTTAATGGAGCCATTGATGTTCCATGGTACGCCTTGAGTCATGTTGTTTGTGAGATTGCGTTATGCCTGCTGCCTACCTGTGAGTTCATTGGAAAAGTCATTTTATAGTTTGAACTGTCACCAAGTTTGTCTGTAAATACAACTGAAATTGTTGTAAGACGAATATCATTTGGCCATGAAGCTGTAAGACTGTGCCTACTTCATGGGTAGTTAAGTCCTTCCCCCACCACCAGTTGAAATCAGCATCAGTTGATCATGCTAAACGACAACCGTCAACCAGTATTGGCTTCACAAAATGCTGATCAGTCCATCTCTAGCAAACATGCCAGGTTTTTTTAGTGACACCACTGTGGTCTGTGTGCTACCATTGCGGTGTTGTGGATATCGCTGCAGCCATGATAATCAAAGAAACGTTCAGTAAGACAGGATAAAATAGACAAACTCATGTTAATCAAGTTAACCAGTTAAGCTTTAACTGACCATCAGTAAGCAAAGCAAATAGGGATAGTCATAAAACTAGAATTCAGGCAAAAAAGGCAGAGGAACAGGGGATGTGAGGACACTAAATGACAGATGAAAGGCAAAAAGAGAGAAAGGAGTTTTGGTGGCCCTAACATCCAGCACCCTCATCACTCATCCTTACTTCCTATCCGTACAGGAAGCAGCCATTGGGAGGAAATCCTTCCTTTTATGAAAACACAGCACTTTTCTAAAGCTGGTGTGACAGTGAAACACAGAACCTAACAGAGTAAACAGACCCATATGAATAAAAAGAGCATGCAGGGAAGTTTTGTACAACAACTGGTCTGTGACCTTTGCTCAGTAGTCTTGACATTGAACCAGTAGCGGACTGAGCAACAAAGGCACTGATACACTGACTCCACAGACTTGGAGAGGTTCAAAACATGTAATAAGTGGTACAATTTGCTACCTGAATATTCATCGTTTTCAACAATAGTTGCTACTTGTTTGCTCAAAGAGAGATTCGTGTAGATCTGCCAAATATTTCAGAATGCTCCACAAAGAATCAGACCTATTTTAAACATCATCCCTCCTGCCTTGTAGTACAAATTAGGTTGCACATCACAGTTTTGGTATTTCATTATGAAGGGATATTCATAGAGGTGGTTGAGCAATTAGACTGCCACACTGCCAGACGTTACTTTGTAGCTGTTTATCTTGAGGGCCCTTTGGATAATCCTGAGCTAAGCATTTCAGGAGGTTAGTATGGATGAGAATACTGACTTTGGATGTGTTCAAACACTATGCCACTCTGTCAGTAAATACAGACTGTAAATAGAGCCTACCCACCATAACACGTAGGTCTGTCACAATTATTACATAATTGTCTAATTACAATTATTTAAGATAATCAGAATTTTTAGTTATTTATTTTCCACAGGTTTTCCATTAGGTTTCATAATCATATTGTAGCACAACAAGCATAATGTGAGCTGGATGCATTTGGATTAGATGGCTTGAGCCAAACGTTTAAGTTTAATCTTTTAACTGTGTGGAAAGATATAACATATTTAGTGGGAATTTTTGTTTGTTATCTTGACAGCTAGTATAGGTAATGCTATCTGTACGCTTGTAGAACAAGTTTTTTCACTCACATTTTCATAGTCTCAAGAGAAAAATGTAAGCTTTGGTTGACTGTGCAACTGTAGACACTTGGTAGACACAGTACAGTGCAGTGTATCCTCACCTGTTAGCTGTGAAGTAAACAGCTGGCTAAGAAAGACAGCTAATAAGTCAAATTATCACATTTAGACTTTACTAGTTGCATCAAATGAACATAACAGACACGTGTGAATGTCAATTATTTATGTAATAATGAACTGTATAAATAGCTAACCTTTCATGATTGTGACATGCCTAAGTACAGGTGCACTCAAACTTATCAAACTTATCATTAACAACAGAAATCACTGTACAGGCTCCATGACATACGACAGTGACTGTGACAGTCACAGTCAATACAATAACTATCAGCACACTGAAATCAAGAAAATGCTAAACCTGCAAAAATAAAATTACCATCTTTCCTACTGTGTCCCATGATAGCTAATTTTCTGTGTCTCTTGTTGATGGTACCAAAACTAGTTCATTAAATGTTAGAACTTCAGATTAAATACACACATATATAAGCAGATAAGCTTGCATAGCTGTGCAGAAGACGCTAAAATAAACATGCTGAGCTTTGCAGACTTTCAAAGTCTCTTGGAAAACATGCGTCATTTAAGGTTAAGGTTATGCCAGTACTGCCACTACACAAAACAGTGCAAAGTCTGACGTCAAGCTTTGCAAGCTTTCTAAATATCACAGGCTCTTTCATAGAACCGTGGTGCATGGGCCAGACACTGGTGTAGTATTCAGCAAAGCAGATCAATTTATTTTCACCAGAGCACTGTGACACTATGCATGAACATAAGAGTTTTAGAACAGTGCAGGGCTAGAATTAAGATGTGATCGCATGTACGCTTACATGAAAATCACCTTAACTCAGACAAGCTTAGGCACCAAGCTAACATAACTGAAAAAACGTACTGTGGACTAACTGTCTTGGAAAGGCTGCACAGACTGACTCCATGACAAGCTATAGTCTGCAGGGAAAGTGTGAAAGAGAGTGGCAACAAACAATTCTGTTTTGCTCATCAAGTAGTAGATCTATATTGGCTTACTGGTGGTCATATGTCTCATCAGGATACTGGAACAGGAAGTATTCCTGCATGTTAGTAACCTGAGCACTGTAGCAAATTACATTTCTGGAGCACATGGACCACCATGACCCTTAGCATATTAACGCTACACAAAATCGCACATTGGCTGTGTCATTTTCTTAGAATTTGGTCAATTTTGAAAAACAGTTTTCTAATAACTTCTTTTTGATACAGAGGAGATAATGCTCAAACGTCTTTGTATTCGTAGTAAGCCATTTTACTTAGAATTAGGCTTATAAGTACAAACAACCTTTGATATTAGAGATATATTACTGATATTACAGTAGCTCTCAGAGCCAGTCAATGTAGGAGATGCACTAGCAACCTGCATTGCTGTCTACTATTGCAGAAACAACAAAAAGTCAAGAATGTCTCAGATCACGTAGTAGAATTTCTTTTTTTTTTTTGTATTTTCGAAGGATGATATGGGATATTCATCAGCTAGATGGCTACACAATGCTGCAGCTGCTGTCAAGTCTCCACGCCAAGCAAAGAGCTCAGCTTTTCTCGTTCCTACAGTTCAAGAAGCAGGTAGGGACTAGACACAATAGGTATCGTGATTTGTCTGTCCATTTCACTGTGAACTATTTTGCCAAACAGCAGGCTGCCTCGTCGCTGCCTGGGAAAGCTAGTACGCTAGCTACCTAGCCAGCTAGCAAGCTAAGACAGAACATTACACAGCTGAACAATTAAAGCCGAACGACACCTGATACCAGCTAGCTAGCATCGCGAGTCAACCAGCTAACGATACATGATAAGCAACATATTGCTTTCGCTATCCATTCGGGTTTCTTAATCAAACAGCCAGGGCTTGTATCCTTATTATCAAGACGACATCCAGGTTCATTCAGTGAAACAAAGGCACGTCGTCTTCCACTGCATGTAGCTAGCTGGCTAATTGGTCTACTGAGGCCACATACATACATACACCTAGCTCGCTAGCGTGCTAGGTTAGCTAGCGGTTAGTCAGGGTGCTGTCAGTGTCATAGCATCAAAGCTTGCAGGCTTCTCACTCACCTAACAGTGACCGAAGATGCTTCAGGCGGGTTATAACATCCTTCTTTGGGTCCAGAACTTTCTGTGTAGATTTCTTGACGTCTCCATAACCCCTTCGAGTGAACATTCCGCTGTAAAAGTCAATTTTGGAGCCCGCGTTCCCTCCTTTTTACCATTCAGTCGGTGTCCTATGTGTCACTTCTCTCCCGGTTGCTGTGCACTTCACTTCTGTTCCAGCGGCCGCCTGTTCGCGGGTGTGTAAACACGGAAGCACACAGCTCTGGTTCAGGCCAGATACGCCCCTCCATACGCCCCCCGAGCACGTAGCAGGGTGTTTTTAACCCTTTCTTCACGAAAATACACTGCAACGACTGTCGTCACGTTGTCAATATTTTCAAAAAGCCGCGTTTATTATCAGTCTTTCAGGTCACATATAGGTTTGGTTCTACTCTTGGTGCGCGTTATTAGCTTATCCAATGAAAAATAAACATGTTGTTTTTTGAAAGACATTCGGCATTCAAGTTTTGTTTATAGGACACCAATTTAAACTTTTTTTTGTATTAAATCATTATTGAATATTGCATTGCTTGTATAAACTACTTCCAGATTAAACAAGGCCAGAATATCCACTACTGAATGATGGAAGGGGCTCATACAGTTGTCAAGAATTTTGCACTTAAGTCATAAGACTTATAAAACTGATGTCTCTGCATGAACTTTGTGAAGAATTGTGATGTGATCTGCCACCCCACCCCACTTATTTTCTCCCCCTCCCATTTCTTTGTCTGTCTTAACTTATCGTGGTGATTGTATGTTTGTCAGAATATCTTAATAAAACTACAATCATAAAAAGATTCTGTAGTATTAGGATTATAATCTGAACAAATTCATACACAATTAGGTATTATTAAGTCATTATAATACTTGCTCTAACTAAAAAATGTACAATGATTATTATTATTATTGTTATTATTATTATTATTATTATTATTATTGTTGTTGTTGTTGTTGTTGTTATATGAAAACTTAGATGTATCTTAAGGTTAAAGCACTGTAAACTTAAATGTTATGCCTACTTAAATGTTATGCCTACTTAAATGTTATGGTGATTCTATCATGATTTTTACTTCACAGTGCTCCATTGAGAACAGATAACTATTTTCTGTCTTGATGTAAATGAAGTGTTAGACTCCATTAGGGTAATTTCACAGAATTTTCAAAATTTCTGCATAATTCAATTATTGAGATGTCAACAAGTTATTCAGAGTGGTTTGATGTGAAATAATAAATTGTGTAGAAACTTACCAGCTCAAACATATTTAAAGCAGAAGTGATAGGAACCAGAGGTCACAATGTCTACAGTGCAAATATAGCCATTTTATAATAAAGTTTTCTTTGGGTAGTATTGTCTTGTAGAACACCCTATATATATATATATATATATATATATATGTATATATACATACATACATACATACATTATCTAAACTGCTTATCCTTCTGGGTCGCGGTGGGGTGCTGGAGCCTATCCCAGCTGTCATTGGGCGAAGGCAGGATACACCCTGGATATATATATATATATGATATCAGGCAGTTTCATAAACATTTCATCTAATTTCATTTTTGGTGGCGTCTGGTTCCTATCTCCACAACTGTTAACAATTCTTACTCAGTAAGTTTCTCTGAAACAGAGTATTCCATGTCAAATCACTCTGAAAAGCTTTATTTACATCATAATAATTTAAATGAGCAGAAACCGAGAAATAAAACAGTGGAATCCCCTTTTCAGATGATTTGTTGGTGTTCAGAAATCACACAGTACTGCAGTACAAAGGGCAGATACTTTAGTTCTACCATTAAAGCTGTTTTGCACTCTACATCTTACGAAGGAGTGGAAATAATACTGTATTATAATTCATATATATATTCTAAATTTAACTGCTATATGGAAGTTGAGTTTAATTTTTTTGCCTGAAAATAAACACAATACTCCAGAGTGCCATCTGGTGTCGAGAATTATAATGACGTCAGAGTGGAATTTTGCATTTTTCTTATTTGCTTCAATTTTATCATATGAAGATTTGAGAAACTGAGCTGAGGCTGAAATGTGCCATCCGTTTTATGCATTTATACCAGCTAGAGAAATCATTTCATTAGGCTAAAATATTTAGCGCAAACATTAAAATCAGTCAAGCAAAGTAATCTCTCTCGCCAAATCTGTCCTCGACATATGTGCAGACATTTTGGTTATGGCTCTGGGTCTGCACCCCTCTGTGTTGGCTGTGGATGGGCACAGTTGAAGGGCATTAGGTTAAGCTAGCGCTTTTTCTCTCCTTGGCACACACGGTCTCCTGCCTTTCACTGGAGCTGGTGACTGGAAGCTTTTACTGGCCAATAAAGAAATGTAATTGGATGGCAGACAGGCCTCCTGCCGTGTAAGTGAACTGGAGAGCTAGCTGCATTAAGACAAGTTCAGCTTCCCTATGATTTTAATTGATTTTGCAGATGATTAACATGATGGAGAATTAACATTTTGAAGAGCAGTGGAGACAAAAACGTTTGAGCTGACGGGGAAAGAACATTGTAGTGAAGAAAGCTAGATGAGACTTAGATGAGTAATTTGTGAAACTTGGAAGTGTCATTCTGGATTTGCTTGATTTGTGTATCCTTTAATACTTTGTGGAAAGCAAACGATTTCAAATAAACCACTTCTTGGCTGATAGTTATCAGATTTGATTAGTGGAGAAAAGAAATCCCAGTGTATTCCTCTGTGTACACAGAGATTTTTTTGTTCACAGTTACAGTATTCAGGATATATTTTGCCCATGTTGATAAGCAAAAATAGCAGTGTAATATTTTTACAAAACAAATTAATCACTCAAATATGTTCCAAATCTAAATACAATAAAAAGCATTAGATGAACAATTGAGAGTACTCGTCTAAAATATATTAAGGCAATATGTTAAAAAGGCCATTAAATAATTAAATTAAATGATAAATTAAGGTCTATTGTCTTACATCTAAACATATAAAAGGGGAAAATTAGACAGAGAGTCAGCAGATGGTGCTTTTGAGCAGGTAAACAGAAATCTGTTCTTGAATGACAGACAACTAGACTACTCTTCCTTACTTTTATAGCCATACAAGTCAAATCAACAAGCACTTTTACTACATACATATAGCTTGGAGGCTCAGTAGTTTAATGTCATCATGTCATTGGAGTGGGGGGTGTTCAAACTTTTGCATGTGACTGTAAAATCCAAGCTAAATAAAGAATACACGATACAATCACTGTTAAATGAAGAATGTATATTAGTATGGGCCAAATGCTCAGAAGGAAGAAATCACATTAAAAAATATTATGGGGTCAGGATCAGGGTTCAGTTTTTATGTTCCAAGATCACAGTCCTTTGAATCAACATCATCCTAATTACAATTGCCTGTATGCAATACAATAAGCCACCTAATTAATCCATGCTATAAAATTGTAATTAAGTACTCTATCTATCTATCTATCTATCTATCTATCTATCTATCTATCTATCTATCTATCTATCTATCTATCTATCTATCTATCTATCTATCTGCCTGACTGACTGCCTGCCTGCCTGAATGACTGACTGACTTACTTACTTACTTACCTACTTGCATTATTGTATTAATATTATGGCTGTGATATTTAATAATCTATGAGCAGAAATGATTAATCTGATGAAGGTTAATACATACTGGCTTTGAACTTGACAAACCTTTCCACTAAGTAAAACACAGGAAACCAGAAGCTTTCCTTTGTTTAAACACTATAGCATTCAAAATGCTTGTACTGTAACAGTTCATAGTAACAAACCCAACAACCGAGCTAAATACTGTATAGCATTAAACCATTACAGTGCAGTAAACCATAATGGTAAATATGTGCGTATTGAGTTATTGGTACATGGTTAATGTCTTGGTGCTCTAATAACAGATGTCTGGAAAACTGAGGCTACATTACCAACCAGTAGGTGGCACCATTACCCCATAAATGAATCCCCTCTAGTGGCATTTCACCGAAATTTAATCCAAGGTTTGAAAAGCACTTGTCTGCACTAAATTCACAAGTAGATCTCGGAAATACTTGACTTTCCTCCCCGTATGGTTACAGCTTTCCTTTTTTGTGAATCTAAGTGTCATTAAAAGCTAATGTGCCCCATTATGGCATATTAAGATGCAGAGGACAAGGATGCCACTATTATACCCCAATATAGCTTTCTTCAGTGTAAGGAATAAAGCACAGAGGAATCTCCACTTTGAACAGTACCTTCTTCAATTAAAGGAGAATTCCACAGACTTTTCAAAATGTCTGCATAATTCAGTGGCTGAGATATAACGGAAGTCATTCAGAGTGGTTTGATGTGAAACTTCTACAGAAACTTGCAGACTCTGATTCTTTACAGTGGTGGTGATAGAAACCGGGGGTCCCGATGTCTACAACACAAATATAGCCAAATTATTTACTATTATTTATGATCCTACGCGTGTCTTCTGAGTTTTTATATGTAATGTTGATGACAGTAAAATAGTGGTTAATCTGAAATAATATTTTCTTTGGCCACTAATTTGCCTTAGAACACCCTTCATGTATCTCTACACCACGAATAGATTAAAGTAAACTGATTAAAATATGTTTTAGGCCAAAATTTTCGCATAAAACTACCATAAAAGAATGCCTCAGACATCAGAGTATTCATAACCATTGCATGTAAAAACTTTCAGTAAGGGAGCTTTTAAAGGCATTAAACATATCAGACATCTAGATCCTATCACCACCCCTGTAAAAATTCTGACTCTCTAAGTTTCTCTAGAACGAAGCATTTTACACCAAACCACTCTGAACGTCTTTGTTTACATCCTAACCATTTAATTATGCAGAAATTTTGCAAAATCGGTGGAGTTCCCCTTTAAGAATGCAATTTCATTACGCGCTGTTTCAGAATGGAGCAATGGGGTGCGCCGGAGTTACGACTGCATGTATTATGAGATGATTACTGAAGAGCTGTTGATTTCAGGTCTTCTGTTAGTCATCAAACTACAGAGAACATACTGGAGAAAGTCGACTCAGCTGGAACAACAAGGGCTGAGAGTTTTTTTTTCTGTTCAGGTTGACTGGAATTCTTTTGGATATGCCAAAAACAGTGACTTGTTACTTCCAAAAAAAACAAGCCACCCATCCGCTTGACCTCATAAACCCATTCAGTCACCAG